GGGAGGAGAAAGTAGTTTTGTCTGGGGGCAGCCTGTTCCTCTAGTCCTCTGTCTTGTTGGCCTCAGATACTGACCCCTGCTTTCCATTCTTCCAGCCACTGTGAGTGAATTGAAAGGCCCCAACTTCTTCTGAGATCTGTTCCGCACTACATTCCCAGGAGGGTGGCTTCCTTCCCTCTCCCCTATCCGCAGCCTACCTCCATAAAGACGACACGTTCTCAGGAGGCAGGTGCCACCCACCAGGAGGGCCTTGGGGCCAGTCATGGTATCTGGTAGCCCCTGGCTCCCATGCTGTGTCTACAGCCCCAGGCCTCAGCTTCTCTCCCTCACCCCGTGTTCTCTGACCCAGGGGACATTGACAGAGAGCACTGTTGCTGCTCTTTACTTTGTTCGAGGCAGGATGCCGGCTCCCGGTAGGATCTTGATGAAGCAGAAGTTCAGACCTGAGACTGGGTATTAAGAGGGCAGACAGCCTTGGGTTGTGGGGAGAGAAAGAGGGGGGCGCTCTGAGACAGAAATACTTCTTTGGGTGTCATTCTACATGGGGCACAGGCAGAAGGTACAAATATTTCTGCAGATGCACGTGCATGTGCGTGTATATGTATTTGGGTGTGTAAGCGAGTCACTCTTTTTATACCTGTGTGTATCTGTGTATGTGTGAATCTGTATATGTAAATGTGTGTAAATCTTTGAGTCAGTGTGTATTTGTGTGTTGTTTGAGGGTGTACATTTTGTACATCTCTGTGTGTTAACGGATAGGCTTGTGTGTCTGTGGACACCTATGAACCTCTGGACCGTAAGATGCCTGAATCTGTGTGTGCACGCACATGTGTACTTGTGTGTCTTTGGCCAGTATGTTTTGGGGTGTGTATACATGTTAGTGTGTGTCTGAGCACACCTGTGTACAGGTCTACGTTTGTGTGTGAACACGTGTGTGCCTGTCGAGGCATTTGATGGGATGTGGAGTGTCAGGAACTAAAAGAACAGTCTCCCAGATGCGCTTTCTTATAAAGCTTCTGGAGGTGGTGGAACAGGACAGGGCGGAGAACCCCAGGGGACGCGGGTGGCGAAGAAGCAGCAGGGCTGAGTTCCCTGAATATGAGCGGTCCTCTGACAACCGGACCACGGGTCTTGGGCTTGCCATGAATCTCACCAATGCTGGACCTCAGGGACTGCTTCTGGTGAAGAGGCCTGTCCTCCACAGAGGGGTGTGTCCCTCAGCCTTGGTTGCAGTTTGTGTCAGGAAGCTGCTAATCACAGCATGTCAGTCTCCCCAAGGGCTTGGAACGGGGGCTGCCTGAGGGTCAGGCCCCCACCCAGGTCCCTGCATTGCATACTGCAACAAGCGAATTCTTTTTCGTGTATGTGTGAAGAAGATTCACCCTGAGCTCACATCTATGCTAATCTTCCTCCCCTTTGTATGTGGGATGCCTCCACAGCATGGCCCATAAGTGGAGTAGGTCCACACCCGGAATCCTAACCTGCAAATCACAGGCCACTGAAGCAGAGTGTGTGGAACTTTCACCACTGAGACACAGGGCCGACCCTGCAACAGGGTAATTCTTGACACTCTGCTTCTGAAAGAACAGTAGAATCTGGCTTTCAGGGGTGGGAGGGATAGGCAGTAAAGGAAGCTCTACATAGGGAGCTCTGGGACTGGTATTTCGGCTGAATGGCAAGTCCCCATTTAATTCATAGGTGGGGAATCGATTCTAGGCCATCCTGGTAGCCCAATATCCTGCCAGCAACAACGGGAGGTACAGGGAGGGCAGGGAGAGGAAGGGGCTTAGACGTCTCCAGATTGAAGCTTGCTTGAGGCAGACAAGGGTAGATAAGGTGTCCCTCAAATATCTAGCACTATCTGTTACTGGGTCGACTTCAACCACTATATATTCATTCCTTTGGTTGTTTAAGGACTTTCAGTCTTGAACAGCCTTTGATTAAAAAGCAAATACTCTTAGGAGAAGAAACTCCAAGGGCCTTATCTCTTAATACCTCTGGGAAGTTGATGGTTACTTGCCGAGAACGAGGTTTTGTGAAAAGGAACGCAGAAGGCAAGGATGTGTGTCACTGTCAGTGGGCATGGGGAGAGGGCGGTTGTGGAGAAGAGAAGCCATTGAAAAGGAGATAAAGAAGCAGAGAGTGCAATGTACACCATTTTTTCTTGCTGGGCACCGAGGTAGTCAGTGTTTCCTGGTATTCCTTGCATAAGTTGGGCTCTGCAGCATGCTACTGGGTGTGGCCAATGCAATGTGGGAGGAAATGATGTAAGTCTCTTCCTGGCCTTTAAATGACCCCCTATGATCTTCCCGTTCTCACTGTCCTTGCCACAGGGATCTGGGGGTCCCCGTGTCCCTGAAGGCATAGCTACCTGATGGAAAGGGCTGTCTGACCTGCTGTGTGTAGTAAACCTTGAGATTTCGCAGCCCACTTGTTACTGCACCAGAACCTGGTTTAACCCAACACATATAGAAAAGAAGGTGCCCAGGAATGTCCCAATTTTTCCCGGACAGACATAGCACAGAAGTCAGGATCCGAGCCACCAGAGTCACAAAGCTCTGGGTCTGAGTACCTGTTCTACATTTCAAATTTTTTAGCCTTACTAAGCCTCAGTTTCTCTTCAATAAAATAAAGTTGAGTTAGACAACATCTGTAATGCATTTAGCCCACACTCTGGCAATGGCAGGTTGTCACTAAATGTTGGCTTTTGTGCAGAGTCATTAAGGAAGCAGTGTAGTGGTAGGAATGAGCATGGGTTCCAGTTTGAATTTCCATGTATTGCACATTTCTTCTTCTATGAAATAGGATTAATAACAAACCACAGCAAGCTCACCAGGGTTGGTGTGCGGGTCCATGTGATTATGTTGGTGACTGTGCTGAGGACACCAGGATGTAGGAGAGACAAGTTAGTATTTTATCAGTACTGATGCCAACCCGAAGTCTAGTACACAGAAGCGCTAACTTAGTTCAGCTGTGGGAGGACAGTGTCAGGCTCACACCCACGGGTTCAGGCCAGGAGGGGCTGATGCACCCACAGAAGGACCAGCCCAGTGTGGGGAAGGGGAGAGCTGGGGGAGAGGGCCCCTCCAGGACACCGCTGCCTCCATCTCCTCCTCAGAGAACGTCCTCAGCCCCAGCCCAGGCTCCTGAGAGCTGGATTCACCGGGAATGCCTGTGGGCCTCCTGGTTGGAGAATGTAGTGCTGTCTTCATTGATGTGTCTGCTGAGATGTGCCTTATGTTTGGGAATCGTACCCCTTCTCTCCCTGCAGTGGGAGATCATTGGTGTTGGGCCTTTGCAAGTGCCCACTGCTTGATCGTCCCAAACTACTCCCAAAGCTGCCCACACCCCTTTTCTCTGCACCTTCCTTAGAGGGGCCAGCCCTCATCTACAGTTAACTTCATTTCTGCTAAGTCCTCATGATCATGCCCACACTCCAACTTTCCTGCAGGCACATTTACTGTGAAGCTAATGAAACGTACTTCAGGGTTAAAATGTCTGTGACAATTCACATTCCCACCAATAAAGCAGGAGAATCATGCATTTTGGACAAGCTCCCAAGGAGAGTCTGAAACTAAGTACAGGATAGGATCCACTGTCTCTGAGACATCTCAGAACGGCCCCCCAGGTTCCTGAAAGGGGTGACAGGAGAGAAGCCGGAGGGTAATGAGTGGTCTCCCCAGGGACGTGAAGAAATGAAGGGTTCTTATCAGCCCTCCCACCTCCCTCAATCTGTGGCAAACCTTCCTTCCTCTGGGGAACTTCCTCCAAAGTCCCTATATAAAATGTCACTGTGGGATGGACAGAAGGAAGATCTGGGATTTGGGAATTCCTCAGGACCCAGGAAGACTTCTGGGCAGGTAAGTGCTTTCTGGTGTAGTGGAACTTATTCCAAGTAAATGTTCATCTCGTGGGACACATCTGGCCTGGGCCGGGAGGTTCTGGAGGGCTGGCTGGGATTGTGTGTGGCTGTCAGGTTGCATAGGTGTCAGCAGACAGGAATTCTCATCTTCTACCTTTCACATTCCTTCTGAGGTATGCGAGAGCTCCTGTTGTCTGAGGAAGGCAGAGATGCACATGTGGCTTTTTGAGCTTTGAGGAGGGAACCCATTTTGTAAGTGATGTGTGGCCTAGGAAGGCCAATAATCATTGTTTCTGGATTCTCTTTGTTTCATAGACTGTGAGGGGCTTATTAAGTACAAAACAAAAATAATATTCCCTTCTTCACATTCAGGTTCACAGGAAAGCCAACCTTGTCTGTCCCTCATGGTCTGCTTCATTCTATTCAGAAAGAAGTGCTAGCATCCTGGAGAATCAAAGGCTGGGCTCAGCATTAGCTTTTCTGGCCCATCCTGGCTTCTGTTCATGCCTGCTGTTTCTTTACCTCACTCCGAATGTCCCCTAAGGGTGTGGCTGTAGGGTGTGTGTGTGTGTGTGTGTGTGTGTGTGTGTGTGTTTGACAAACTATGTTCCCCATTGCAGGAAAAAGCCAAGATGAAACTTTCCCTATTTCTGGCTGTTGTATTTCGGGCAGTTTCAGCTCTTCATCTGGGTAAGTCTCCTTAGTCTTCAGTCTTTCTTTCTCTTCTGCTCCTTTCTAAAGTATATAGGGTCAGAGTCACAAGCCATCTCTTTTGCTGGCCATCCTCTATTGCAAGATGTCTGCATTTAAAGGAACAGAGACTGTAGAACCTGGAGTTAGAGGGACTTCTCAGGGCATCTGTATATCTGCAGCCTCATTTATACTATGACATTCTCCATTTTGTCCTTTATAGATAATGCCCATGATGATCACCATAATGACTTTCTTTTACTTTGAGCTCACCTAGTGTACTGTGCTAAGCATTTTGTATGCATTATCTCCTTTAATCCTCATAGCATCCCCATTAGGAATGTAATATTGTATACCCATATTGCAAATGAAATAAAGCTAGTAGATGATGGAATCAGTACCAAAACCCACAATGGCCTGATGCTAAGTCCTTGATCTTCACCCCATGACCTCATGTGGGAGGCTAGGTTATCCTCATGGAGGCTTGGTTCTAGGTTCCTCTGTTTCCAAGGCTGAGCATTCTGATGGCTAGGGCAAGGAGGGAACTGTCCATGGTTCTGGAGTGAACGGGAAAAGATGTGAGGGGGTGCAGTTGGACTTTCTCTCTACCGAGGACTGAAACATCCAACTTTGAGAGCCCCTTGGGAGATGAGATCCTGCCTTACGATGGGGAGATGCCAGAACACGGGACAATGGAGGCTCCTATGGAGGGACTGACCTTGCTGGAGGAAGAGGAGGAGGGAGGCTCTGGAGGTGAAGATGCCCCTGAGGAAGAGGGGGCTGTCAAATCAGTCTCAGCCCTAGAAGAGGTGGACAAGGACTTTCAGTGCCCTAAGGAAGAGGATACAGTCAAACAGGTGGGCATCCCTGGATGTAAGACCTGCTGCTTTGTTGGGTGGTGAGAGCCATGATGTTTAGTCAAGCTCAGGTGAGTGGGCTGTGGCTGAGGCTGAGTCCAGGGGTGGAGAGGAAGGCAGGGAGGGGTTGTCCCCAGCCTCTGAGTCACTGTTTATTTTCCTCACTGAGGACCCTGGGGGTGTCAGCAGGGTCTCAGGCTCGCAGAGGTGTTAGACGTGGGTAAGAGGGCGTAAAAGGTGAGGGTCAAGTGGAAACAGTAGTTACATTTTGATCTCTAGTCTTCAAATGGCTTTCTGATTGGCTTGGTGAGTGGGGGAATGAATTGTGGAGACTTCAAGATCCAGGACTAACATCACGTGTATTCCTCAGGAGGGGCACCCCACTTTTCCTCTTTTATCCTGCCTTGCAGTGTACTTGGCAGAGGTGCTACAGGGGCAAACTCGTCTCCATCCATAACCTCATCTTTCCCTACCACATCCAGTGCTCAGCCAGAAGTGTCAGCCAGGGTCAAGTCTGGATTTGAGGCATGAGCACAGGCTTGGTAAGAGGGGTCCCAGAGCTAAATGGGGAGCCCCTTCTGACCCAAGCCAGTGCTCAACTTGCTGCAGATTTCTTTGTGCTTCTGCTCTCTGATCCTCTGAACCACTGGGGAGAGTTGGACACCTGGGCATGATAGTAAGGTGGCTGCCTAGGCATCGGGAAGAGCCAAGGCTTTAGATGAGTAGGTTTGGGTTCAAGTTCTGCTCAGCCTCTGACTGTCTGTATGGCTTGGGCAGGACTATGAGCCTGGGTCCTCATCTCTAGAATGGGGTTGAAACTCCTGTCCCACCTCTTGTCAGGGCCAGAAGGATGAGTGTGTCACGAGGATGCATAGAATGTAATGGTGCTGATCACTGTGGATCAACATTTTGGTTGACCAGGACTGTGTCCATGATGATCCAGCAGAGAAGGCAAATGCCCAGCAGGCAGCAGGAGGATCAGACAGGGACAGTTCCAGCTCTACCTACCTGCTTTCCCTTTGCCTTATGCTCCAAGGCCACCTTCTCCCTTTCTCTCTCCTCTAGGGCAGCTGCTGGCACTTTTACTGGGGTGATGGCAGTGCCTGGAAGATTTGGTACTGGGCTCTCAGCCAGCCCCTGGCCTCTGGTGGCAGCTGTGTGTCCATGTGGAACCGAGGTGATGTGGAAGTGGGAATGAAAGATGACAAGGCAGGGGAAGTGGGAGGGGCTTATGGAGGTGGTGCTAGGAAGACGTGGACCCTCCAAGGGAGAGGCCTTCTGGATCTTCAAACTTCATTTTCAGTGAGTTATGCGGTGGGGAGGGGGAAAGACCCTCCATGAGCTAAGTCAGTGGAAACAAGAGGCTGAAGGCCCCTTCTTGTTCTGCCTTCACAGAAGGTGGCTGGAGATTACCTCATTGCAAGGCGTTCCTTCTGTGTGTCTGTTCCTACTTAGCAGGACCCAGTCCGGAGTTCAGAGCCGCCCCCTCCTTGGGCCCTGCCTCCCCTCCCATGCCTGCAGCCCCTTCCTCCACCACCCAGGAATAAAATTATTTTCCTGAAACTGATTTCTGGTTCCTCTGATCATTGATCCACTCTGCTTAGCCTCAATCTTGAACTTGCTGCCCTACGATGGCTCTACTGTCTTTCATGAAAGGGGCCAGAAGTTATTACTGTCAAGGAGGATGAAACGTGGGGTGGGGTCTGTGGGGCAGTCTTGGAGACAGAGGAATGGGCTCAGCTAGCTCTTTTCATAGAATGCCCAGTTACTGGGTGCCGGTGTACAGATCCTGGCAGGACCCCACCAATCTCTCTTGAATCTTTCATGATGGACCATCAATGTCCTGGCCTCTCCTACAGACTGTGGTTGCCTTAATGTGCTAGAAAATTAGCACGTCCCAGGAACAGCCGACAACTCTCAGGAGTGGGTGTATGAGCACCTCAGTCCCTTGCCCCTCAGGTGGAACAATTTTAAGGCATGTCCTGGGCACCGTTTCACAGTGGAATTAACTTCATTACCCAGGGAGGTGGCTGTCTTTACAACACATATTTTCTTGTGAATTATTCTCTTCGCTACTAGTGCCCTTGCACCTCCCAAATAAATTGGCACACAAGTCCTTGTCTCAGGGTCTTCTCCTTGGGAAACCCAATATCAGACAACCTGCTCTATGGTCAACTCTGTATAAGGCCTGGGAATATGTTAGGACACTTTTTGGGAAGATACAGTTATTTATAATATAAGCACAACAATATCCACTACTTTTTGCCACTTATTACACACTCACAAAGTACTCCCTACTGTGGCAGGCACTATACAGAGATGACCTTGTGTGATCAACAATTATTATCCCATCTTACAGAGCCAGGCTCAGAGAAGGGATGACCTGTTAAAAGATTTGCCCAAGGCTGAATACCCAAATGCCAGCAAGCCTGTGGTTTTACTATCTGCTTCAGATCATGGTCCTTTAACCATTATGATTCTCTGGTTGGAGCGTTTCCTGCTCTCCCCTCCAGGAGACGATCCTATGGGGATGGAGCACAGTCGGGGGGAGGGGGTGGGATGGACTCCCTTATCCTTGGGTTCATCTTGGAGCATAGGACTCCAACCTAGCTGGGGTGAGGGTGTCCCAATCAGAGATGAGGAAGGAAGGCATTCTGGATCCTCTCTCCACTCTCCAGCTGGCAAGCAAGCAGAAAGTAAGGGGTCAGTGTCCTGAAGCCCCTTTCCTCCAGGACCCCTGAAATCCAGAGAATTACAGATGGGACCAAGGTCATAGAGAGAGGCCAATCAAGACCTTTCATTTTTGAGTATGGCCCAGATAGGAGAAGCTACTTGCTCAGATTTGCACAGTAAGTTGAGAAACAGATAGAAATCAAACAGGTCCATTGTGATATTGTAATTGTACCACAATAGTCTGTGGATTTTAAAGATGATGGAATTCTGAAACACTGTTATGGATTCAGCCCTGTGCTGGGCACTGTGGAAGACGCCGCTGAAATAGTATTTTCACTCTTTGCCCTTACGGACTTTATATCCTGGTGTGGGAAGGCATTACTTCCCTCTATTCCTATATTAATAAAAAGAGTAACAAAATCTCCCGTTTATTAAGCATTTACTAGGTGACAGGCTCTGTGCTAGGCGGTAGGTGGATTTTGTGTTGTCCCTCATAAATCTCTTCTGTTGGGGGCGTGTGTTGTGACAGAAGTGTGACTTCCAGTCCATGGAGATCCCCTTTGGGGGATTAATGTCCAGAAGGGGCATGAAGGAGACATCTGGGTTCCGGGTAACGTTCTGTATCTTGTTGTGGGCACAGTTATGTGGAAGCATTCACTCTGTAAAACTTCCCTGAGCAGTGTACCATACTTGACAAAATGCATGTTATACATCCACAAAAAAATGTTGTAAAACATGAAAATAATGACATAAGGGCACTGGCTTTACATTTCAAAATACAGGTTTCTGTGTGTACTTTTCCTCTCCAACAAGATATTAACTAAGCTCTGTGAAAGGAAGATGGTGTGTTTACAATGGAATCTGTGGAGTTCCTCACATCGTGCAAAGCGCAGAGCTCAAGCAACACTCAGGGCTTGTGTGTTGATCAGGGTCACAGTTCTAGCCCTGGTTTCCTGACAAGGGTCACTCCCAACACCATCCGACAGGGTCAGTTCTGAGAGCTGTACTGAAGCTGATCTCATTAGAGGTAGGTTCTGGCATTAGCCTCAGTTTACGGATGAGAAAACTGAGACACAGAGGGCTGACTCTGGGACTTGTGATTTCATTATACACCACACAACACTGCCTCTCAAGATGGCAAGACACACCCTCTGCACAATGTGGGGGTGGACAGACTCTCGGGAGGCAGAGTTTGAAAACCCTATGAACATAAATGCAAACAGTAAGCCAGAGACTTGGAAGTTGATGGATGTTGAAAATGTTGTCACCATTGGCTAGAGTGTCTGGAGGTAACAAATTTGGGTGTGTCCAAAAAAGCGAGGACTTGGGAGTCAGACAGAGCAGGGTCAACATGCCACTTCTTATGAGTTGTGTGAGCTAATGGATGGACATCACTGTGGTCACTGAGGAAGTCATTGGAATGTCTTTTCCCAGGGCCTGTATGCAAAGAAAACTGGGTTAATGCAGAGGAGGGGCCGGCTGTGGAGAAGGTAGGTGAGTGAGAGAAGGCAGAGGGAAGGCAGTCAGGAGTGCAAAAGGAGCCTGTCTCTGGTTTAGAACTGTCTCTCACTTGCTGTGTGATCTTCAGCACCTTGTTTAAGTGCTTTGAGATGTCGTTTTCTCATCTGTGAAACAGGGATGTTGAAATGAAACCTCATGTGCAAAGCTTGTTGTGGTGCTGGTTCACGAGAGTAGTTGACCCTATTGGTCAACCCAACCACTCAGTGAAATGATGCCCCTGGCCTCGGCCCCAGGAGGGGGGAGAACAATGAGGAGGAGGTCTAGTCCTCTGTCCCCTCCTCCACTAAGAGATCTGAAGTTTGAAACCCAGAGACCAGGGTTTGGGGGCCCTGGAATTGGCCAATCCCCCTAGTCAGGTAGATAAGCTGAGGGTCTGGTCCGTTGGGTGGGGAGATAACAGCCAAGACGGTTACTCTGCAATCAGGCCCAGAAGTGACCTCTGTGATACTTCTCCATTTGTAGGTCCCCTGGGAGAGCAGAGGAGAGGAAGGAATTCAGGCCTTTTCACCCTCTGAGTTACCTGTTCCTGGTGCCCTGAGAACTGGGGGACTTGGCTGGAATCTGAGGAAAACCAGGAGGTCACAGAGTTGAGTCCTCCACCCCAACAAGTCCACCAGCTCTTGGCAGTGATATCCAGCATAGTCACCGCTTAGCACTTGCTAGTCTCTCCTTGGACTGCACTGAATTTGGCTGGAGTTTGGTTGATGGAAGTTTTGATATTTTTGCATTTAATTTGACTTTTAAGAAAGATGGCATTGAAATATTGTTTGCCTTGACTTCTGCATCCTTAAATCTTGCTTCACTCACTTGTCCCTAGTCCTGACACTGTGGTAATACATGGCTGGCGGGAGGTGGACGGTGGGGTGGGGTGGGGAGGGTGGTCACCAATGTCTGAATGATTCTGCATGAGGCTTTCCATTGGAGCTGTTGCCTCCTTGCTGGAAAGACATGACCTGAGGTTGGAAAAAATGGCATATTCTAGATCAGTGGTCCTCAACTGGGGTCATTTTGCTCTGCAGAGGACATCTGAAAATATGCAGAGAGCTTGTTGATAATCATGACTTGGAGAGGTGTTATTGGGTTCTAGTCAGTAGACACTGGAGATGCTGCTAAACTTCTTACAATGCACAGGACAGCTCCCCACAACATAGAAATACTCCTAATCGTAAGAGTGCAAAGGTTGAGCATCTTGATCTAGATCCTCAATGCAGAAGAAAGAGCATAGGTTTTTCAAGCATTAAAGTTGAGAAAGGGAGGGAGAGGGAGAAGGAGAGTGAGGAAAGGAGGCAGGGAGGGGGAGACAGAGAGACAGAGGTTGTAGAGACAAAAAAACTTCAAAATCCCAGTTCACCCACATGCAGTGAAATCTTGGCCAGTCACTTTCCCTCTTTGAATCTCACTTTTCATGTCTGTGAAGTAGGGATAATCATATGTCCTCATGGGAATGAGATGAAAGTGAAGATTCAGGGACGTGATGCATATAAAGTACTCGTTCTAGATAAGGGCCAAGGGGGACTGAGGCTCCCTTCACCTCCTACCTCCTCCTCTCATGGCCTCCCGGATCCCTGGATTCTCCACTCCATTTGTTGGGATATGACCAAAGACAGGCTGCTCCTGGGATTAATGAGTATTGTTCAGACTGAGGCCCTTTAGGGGCAATAATAACAACTTTGCCTTGACAATATACATCTGGGGTCTTCTCAAGCACACCAGGGTAGATGGCAGTAGACCCCAGGAGGCAGGTCCCTGCAGTCACAGTAGAGAGCAGGGCTCAGGGGGGAGAGGATTGAGCAAACTCCTGATCAGCTCCATTGCCCCACACCCCACCCTGAGTCTCTTCCCACTTCCCCAAAAGCCCAGTATAAGGGTTGCCTCTGGGGCCCAGCAGCCAGAGACACTGAGAGAAGAGCCTCAGACTCAGGAGGTGAGTGCTCCCCTGGCTGCCCATGGAGGAGGGGTCCAGGGCTTGGGAGGAAGCAGGACCCTATCTGGCAAACACCTCAGAGGTCTGTCCTTCGGACCATAATGGCTACTCTCCTTCCCTCTTCTTCTCCACTGTCAGTGAAATTGGCCCTGGCCCTGAGCAGACCTGTTCCTCCAGGGTCTGGGCTGAGTGTTGTTCCAGCGAGCAGTGATGGAGTTCTCAGGAAAAAAGGGACTTTTCACCTTGAGCCGACACCCCCACGTCCTTTCCCCGATTCTCCAATCAGGGTCTGTTAATTGGACGAGAAGCAAGGTCTCCAGTTTGCTCTTTAATAAACCAGTTAAACAAACTCTTCTTCTTTGCCCTGTGCCAGGGGCTGTGCAGACATACTGGACATCCCAGGGAGGCAAGGTGGAGCTGTGTCCCTGTCACAAGA